GATGATGACAGTTAGTACATAATACTAGGTTTACACGAGCGCGAGATCCACATGTACTGTACCTCTCATATTCTAAGACAGTAGCAACTTACCAGACGATGCGGCCCGCAGGCTGTGGCGGCTGACCGGCGTGGTGTGGATGGAGCAAATTTCAGATACAGCGAGGCCATCGTGGGGGCAGCGAGTCGAGCGATGCAACATGAGACCAAACAAAAAAATGAGCCGGCTGATAAGTTCAAGCGAACAGGCCCGTCCGAGTCCATAACTGTCAACTGACAGTAATCTTTAGTGTAGGCTCGAAACCCCACTATTGCTCGATGCAGGCTTGTTTGGATGGAATCATGGAAGCGTGGCTACTAGCTAGACAATGGTAGACTTGTGCCGCATCCATCCAAACAGCTCATAACTGCTACAAGTGAACTGATCGAGAAGGAATGGCACACCGCATAAATATTTTTCTTGATGTTAATATAAATTGCAACTAAATCATTTTTTTTCTTGAGATTTAGTTATACAACTATGTAGTTGACAACTTTTCATTTAAATTCGTTTAGAGTCCCAAACACTCATTTCAAGTTCAGTTCAGCATAATATGAGTAGAAAGAATATCTGGTATAGACACATGTGAGTGCTAGGTGGCGTGGTTAGAGGAGGTAACATGCAAGGCTAAAATTTGTGGGTTCAAAACCCAATGGCCGCGAAGCATGTGTTTTTGTGCGACAAAATGCGTGACTTGCCCGGTGGGGCCTCCTGGTCTTAACTTTTTTGGCTATTTTTTGGCCTAGATTTGTGATTTCTAGAAAACGGATTTGTAGGGGTGGCTGACCCCTCATAAACCGCTCCCCCAAATCATGCGTGTAGTAGTGTTGGGCCTTGGCGACAGTGGAGGCGGCCGGGCTAGGTCGGGGAGGGGGAGCTCCATGGCCGGAGCTCACTATGGAAGAGGAAGGGGAGGGAAAGAAGACGTCCGCCACGAGCGCGCTAGGGTTGCGCCTCAGCGGGGTAGTGGGCGGTGACAGGGGCGAGGACGAGCGCAAGCCTGCCTTGAATGACACGACAAAGAAGAAAGCTCTGCACGCAAACAACACGAGGAAGAAGAAAACGCAGCTGCCATTAGATGTAGATCCTGGGGTCTAGATTGTTGACTGACACTTGAACAAAATTTCAGTCACCTGCCAAGGGTACACTGTGCAAAAGGCATCCGTTCCAAGATTCAAAAGGCCTCGATCGCATACTCATAGCTGATGCTAGTTTATTTCTTTCTTTCTCACCATCAAGGTTCTAACAATGCCTAAAAACTTTGGCGGTCGGTTATTGGACGGTTGTTATATATTGACAAGGGCTAAACAGACGATCATCCAGTACTAAAAAACTATTGAGTAGAGTTAACCATCGCCTTAATTATCTTCCAACAGTGTAAACTGCATTCAACGCAAACGTACCCATGCATGTTCAGTCAGTCTTCCATTTGCTGGGATTGGACTGGACATGCATATTACCCCACACAGCAACCGAACTGAGCACAGCAATTCCGATCCGAACAAATATGTACTAGGCCAGCAGTACACGTACGGCAGGCGACACATACGACAAATGAATTGCGACAAATTAACAAACTGTTCCATATGCCAGAGTCGCCGTGAAAACGATATATAGTCCTTGTTTTGTTTAGTTGGGTGAATTTGGATTTTGGGGCTACTGTAGTATATTCGTTTTTATTTGGCAAATAGTGTTCAAACATGGACTAATTAGGCTCAAAACGTTCGTCTCGTAATTTCCCACCAAACTGTGTAATTAGTTTTTATTTTCGTCTACATTTAATACTCCATGCACGGGCCGTAAACATTCGATGTAACAGATACTGTAGCAACTTTTTGGATTTTGGGGTCCAACTAAACACGGCGATATACGTAAAAGTTACACGCAACGCAAGACGGGAGCACGAAGCAGCATTGCCTTCTCCTTCGTCCAAATGCTAGCTAGACCGGCCTCTCTAGCTAGGCTTCGTGCTCTACTTCGGCAGCAAACAAAACCTGGCGTCGCCATCTGTAGCTATAGCAGTTTTTCGCCGAATATGCTGCTAGCAGGCTCCCTCGATCCGACCGATCGATCCAGAAGTCGCCATTGACTTAGCGAGCAAGGTTACTTGAGAATGACTTGTGTTGTTGCTGCACGACTCGTGTTGTTGTGGCTTCCAGAAGCATGCATATGGAGAAAAAACTTGTTTTGGGCGTCGCCGCACGACGGATGGGAGCAGATGAGCCGTGCACGGAACGAACGGAACGGAGAAGAAGCCTCCACCGTCCGGGGTAGCGGCCAAACGGCGCTGCGTCACTGCTTGGCTCACCACGGGGTGGATTCATAAGGCCGCGCGCGGCGGTAGCGTCGATGGCCATGCACGGATTGGGCGATCGGTCCGCACGGCGCACACGGCAGACCACGCAAGTGTGTTTGGTTCGACCTCCTAAACTTTATTAGCTATCTCATCAGATGTTTTGAACACATATATGGAGTATTAAATGTAGATTAATTAAGAAATTAAATACATAGATTAAGATTAATTTGTGAGACAAATTTCTTAAGCCTAATTAGTCTATGATTTTGACAATGTGATGCTACAGTAAACATGTGCTGATGAGGGATTAATTAGGCTTAATAAATTCGTCACACGGATTACTGACGGATTCTGTAATTTATTTTTTTATTAGTATCTAAACATCCTCATGCGACATTCCATGTGACATCCGATGAGACACCTCTTAAACTTTAGTCTCTACATCCAAACACCCCCGTACCAGAGCAGAACACGGTCAGCGCCGCGTCGGTATGGTGCCTGCCTAGTCCAAGTGAACCCTTCTTCATTCTAGAAGCCGCAAGTATATATTGTTTGAGGCATCGATAGGATCTTTGGTTTGAGTTTTTTTTTCGTGAACATGTTATTATTGCACATGTTTCATTAAGTAGAAGTAGAATGTCAATATCACATCATTCTGAAATAATGAGTTTGAGGATGAAATAGTTCATTATCTTCTTACATATATTTTTTTGCTTGGTTAATTTGTAGAACATAATGAGTTGACTTATCGTCATCTTATTCGTCCTTGCAAACCTAATGGTTAGTAATAGTGTGAGAGGAATAAGTTATTCCACTAAATTATTTAAGAATAGGCACATAATGTACTATCTCATTATTTAAAATGAAGTGATTCCTTAAACAAAAAACTTACTTATAAATTATCCAGCTCCTCCCCAACGCCGGCGTCATCTGTAGTGACCATTTGCTTCGTCGATGTGGACTACTAGATTCTCTTTGTTGCGTTTGCCTCGTTGTATGGTTTGTTGGCTTTCTTTTTTTTTTTCTTTTTTGCGTCGTCCTCAGCCATTCACCGTTGGCTACATGGTACATACGGTCCTAGTCCCTCTCCGGATTCAGCAAATCCGCGCCACACTTTTGTGATATCCTTATTAATGTCACCATCCTTTCACGTTTTCCACCCAACATCACACACATCCCCCAAAGTGCACAAATGGCACTGGCCAATCGAATCATGCACACAATCATCTAGAAGGGCGTTCATATTCCAACCACGGTTGCGCTTGTCCATCGTAAAAATGGATAAATCATCATACTGTATATGGTCTTATATCATTGTATTTACTTTTCAGGTATCATGCTCTTTTTTTGTATTACATTTACATCAAATAATTATCATGCGAATTTAGAGGTGCTCATAGCTAGGTATAGAGTGCGTGTGCATATGTGTCATAGGGGTAAGTGTACGGGCATGTATGAGTGTCTGCATTGGTACAATACAACGCGTATACGTGCATGTATGATTTACCAATTTTTTTGTGAATTACAACTATTTTATCTGAGTGGATGCTTGTTTCCTACACAAACCAGAATGGATTAGCCGTATCCTCTTGTACCAAGTCTTATCTCTCATTTACTTTGAGCAAATGGTTGGTTTTACATGATTATTGGAACATATTAGTATGTAATCATCATGTATTAGGTTTTTAAATTTTGCATCTGGCTATGTTTTACTACTCTATTTCAAGTTATAAGTCATTTTAGTTTCACCCTAAGCCAAGTTCTCTACTTTTGAACAAATTTATAGAAAAGTATATCAACATCCACTGTATCGGATAAATGCACTGTCAAACTATATCTATTGTTGCGGATGTTTATGTATTTTCTATAAAAACTTAACCAAAACTTGACAAAATTTAACTTAGGACACAGCCAACGAAAACGACTTAGGACACCCACAATGGTTAGGACTAGTTACTAACTCTAAGATAACTTTTTCAATAATACTAACTTTTAACGGTAGCTTTTAGCATGGATAGTTCCACATGATACTCTCACGTGACCTTAAAATGTGTGCAGGAGTTTAGCTCTTGATAAGAAGAGTCAAAGCTGCCTTGCGGTAGGGAGGAGTGTCTTCGTACTCAACTTAAATTGGTAGATCTTAAATGCAAAACAATCATACGCGGCAACCTAAATTGTGTTGTCCGATGATTCTTGTTTGTGCGCGACAAATCCGAGGTGAGAGAAGTACGACAACGAATTGTCTTGTGGTAGCGTATCTGCGTTGTGGACAAGGGAGGGAATTGTCTTGTGGTAGCGTATCTGCGTTGTGGACAAGGGGGGGCGGCTGGCGATGTCAAGCCCAGTGTCATGGTCACGCCCGACGTCATCGTTGCGAACTAATTTCCTTATAAAACAGGGGGGGGGGGGGCGGCTGGCGATGCCACAAGCCCAGTGTCATGGTCACGCCCGACGTCATCGTTGCCCGAACTAATTTCCTCTCCCCTCATATAAAATAAATAAATGCACCAGTGCAGTGGTGGCTTTGTATTCTCCACGCTGCTAAAGACCCATATCTCCGTCCTCGTCAAGCCGCCCGTAAGGTGATTCACGGGTGCACTAGTGCACTTTGCCGGCCAGCTCAGGGGAGGCCGACTAAGACGTGGCAGAGGTCCGATTCCGATCCATGGGAGAGGAAGCAGCGGCCGCGCCCACCACCGTGGCAGCAGGGAGCGCCCCGCCGCACCTGCTCCTGATCTGCTTCCCGGGGCAGGGCCACGTGAACCCGATGCTCCGCCTGGCGAAGCGCATCGCGGCCAAGGGCCTCCTGGTGACCTTCTCCTCGGTCTCCACCGTCGGCGTGAAGCTGGCCGCGTCCGCGGGTGTGTCGGCGGGCGGCGACGGCGTGCCGGTGGGGCGGGGCCGCGTCCGGTTCGAGTTCTGGACGACGAGGACCCCGGCCCCGACCTGGACGACCTGATGCGGCACCTCTCCAAGGACGGGCCGCCGGCGTTCGCGAAGCTGCTCGCGCGGCAGGCGCGGGACGGCAGGCCCGTGGCGTGCGTGGTGGTGAACCCGTTCATGCCGTGGGCGGCCGACGTGGCCGCCGATGCCGGGATCCCGTCCGCGGTGCTGTGGGTGCAGTCGTGCGCGGTGTTCTCGCTCTACTACCACCACGTACACGGCCTCGTGGAGTTCCCGCGCGAGGACGACCCCGACGCGCGGTTCACGCTGCCGGGCCTCCCCGAGATGTCCGTCGCCGACGTGCCGTCGTTCCTGCTCCCGTCCAACCCGTACAAGCTGCTGGTGGACGCGATCGTCGCGCAGTTCCGCACCATCGGCCGCGCGTCGTGGGTGCTCGTCAACTCCTTCACGGAGCTGGAGCGCGACGTGGTGGCGGCGCTCCCTGGCGTGACTCCCCGCCCGCCGGAGCTCATCCCCGTGGGCCCGCTCATCGAGCTCGACGGTCAGGACGACGGCAGCGACGGCGCGGTGCGCGGCGACCTGATGAAGGCCGCGGACGACTGCGTGGAGTGGCTGGACGCGCAGGCGCCGCGCTCCGTGGTGTACGCGTCGGTGGGCAGCGTGGTGCTGCTCAACGCGGAGGAGGTGGGCGAGATGGCGCACGGGCTCGCCGCCACGGGGCGTCCCTTCCTGTGGGTCGTCCGGCCCGACACCCGGGATCACCTCCCGGAGGGGTTCCTGGACGCCGTGGCCGGGCGCGGCACGGTGGTGCCGTGGAGCCCCCAGGACCGCGTGCTGGCGCACCCGTCCACCGCCTGCTTCCTCACGCACTGCGGCTGGAACTCCACCCTGGAGACCATCGCGGCGGGCGTGCCCGTCGTGGCGTTCCCGCAGTGGGGCGACCAGTGCACGGACGCCAAGTTCCTGGTGGAGGAGCTCAGGATGGGGGTCCACCTCCGCGGCGGGCCGCTGCGGCGGGACGCCGTGCGGGAGGCGGTGGACGCCGCCGTGGCCGGGCCCGAGGCAGACGCCATGCTCGCCAGCGCCAGGAGGTGGAGCGCCGCGGCGCGGGAGGCCGTCGCGCCCGGCGGGTCCTCGGACGCGCACGTCCAGGCGTTCGTGGACGAGGTGGCACGGCGTGCGTGTGGCGTGCAAGCGGCTAAGGTCGTGCCGCCGTCGTTAGAGACTCCTGCTAGTTGAGGTTGACGTTGAGGTTGAGGCTGACGAGCTTCGAGTTAATCTATAGTATTTTTCTTTATAATAAAATAGCTTTAGCCCGCTTATCGGTTGGCTTTAATACCAGCCCAACATACCCTTCAGCAGCCACCAGTCGTCAGAGTCAGTCGAAAGCTGAAAGTGAATAATAATCCTGCCTGTTGTTACAGTTTCACCGTCTGATGATAGTACGAACCAAATTTTGCTTGTTCCACCGTGTTGACGCCTTTTGTTTTGTGTTCGTCGAGCGTGCATGGAGCATTCCGAGGTGACACGTCTGGTTTGGGCTTTGGGGTGTCTGTGGCCGCGCAAAATGTGAGGCTGTTGTACTGTGAACCAAACGAGCTCAGAATACTCTGCTCGAGTGCTCGGTGGTCGCGAGAATCACGGGCTCACTGATGTCACGTGGTTTTTTTTAACTTGATCGATTTTCAATATTTTCATTTTCTGTTTCTAGTTTTCCCTAATAAAAAATTAGAGAGCGGAACTAGCTCTTCAAATTGTTGAACAAGATTAATGGGTTGAAACTATAGAGAGCGGTTTTATGAGAATGGTTTTCCAAACAAAAATTTAGAGAGCGAGTTCAAAAAAATATTGTTGGAGATGCTCTTAATAAATAGTTCTAGTTGATTCAAACCTATGAGATAATAAATGGTCTAGTTTTTAGCTAAGAGCTCAACTAGTTATGTATCTTATTATTAGTTGAGCAATACTTCGTGACAAGGACTAATAGATGAGACAAGTCATTTTTATCCATGTGTAGCTGTGTAGGAGAGATTGATCAAATAGGGAGAGGAAGTGGTCTAGGTGGGAGAGACAGAAATAAGAGGGCATTCTAATCTCTGACTATGGATCTTTGTATCTATTAGCTTAGTGAAACATCCCATAGCTAATTCTTAGCTAACTACATTTTATCTAGCTAATAATTAGCTAGAGCTAACTAGTCCTATCTCATCCAAACACGCCCTTATTTTTCCCCATATGTTGGTTAGATAAAGGCCAATGATTGTACCCACAAACTAGCACTTATTTTTCGAACACCATACCTAGAGTTAAGACCCCCATAAGCTAGTCCTAAGCTATAACTGCATTCTTTTTGAGACGATGAATGTTATAATTACATTCTTTTTGGGACAGAGGTAATACACCTCAAAGATTTTCTGGATAGAATACCAGGAAAGACATAACATAAGGGAGGGGTTATGGGAAACCAGGGACATGAGGCATCTTTTTGGACATGTTATTGTTGGTACTGTTATCGACAGGATGACAATTAAGGGTGCTTAGTAGCTTTCAAAGTCTTGCCTCACTGCCTTGGTGAGCTAATTTTACTCTCTTGAGCAGACCTAAGAAAAAGTCAGACCGGGCCTGTAAAATTCCGATGGATTTTGAGCCCATAATCTATGTGCATACCAGTCTAGTGGGTAGATTTGGTCTGGGCTCAGGTCTAGGTGAGCCACCCAGGAGTTTTCGATGTAAAAGTAAATGAAAAATATTGTTTTTGTTGAGTTTGGACCGAGAAAAAAATTATGGACAGTAATATCTTTGTCCTGACCCTGTCTAATAAGTTAGATGGACCAAGGAAAGCCCGTCGGGCTTAAGCTGGGCTAAGCAAGTTTTCTCAGGTCTGTTCTTGAGCTAGCAAGGTAGCGGTCGCCCACACACATGTCCCTAGGAAACTTTGCTCCGCGTCCAAATAGACAATCTATTCAGTATCCTAGGTATGCAAGGCAATACAATATCCAACAAATGAATTCAAGTAGACCCTAAAGCATGCCTCTTTCCCAACCTCCCTATTCTTCTTTCCACGCAAAGATGTCGTCGTCCCTGGTAACTTCTATAGCCCATGGCCAGCGGCGACCTTGCCGTACCGACCATCTATCACTACTAGGATCCTAGGGCATTGGAGGTCTCTCCAAACCCCAAAGTGCAAACCATAACCCTAATAACCTCCATCTTGCCTGGCCTTGATCGCAACTTGTGTCTGGCGGCTAGCACGTCGTTGTGCCACTCCATCCACTCCACATGATTGCTGCCCTCTCCTAACCTAACCCATCGGGTGTCACATGAGCATGAAGCACGATGAGGACGATGATGTGGCTCCCTCCGCTCGCCTTTTGACACGCGCTGAATAAGGATTTTGGGAGACAATAAGGTGTGGGTCAATAGCTATGGTCAGGGATAGTAATCGGGCATGAAGAGAGGAAGTAGGCGGCCAACTTGCCTTTTCTCTACAATGCATGCCACTAGTGCTAGCCCTCCTTCCAAGGCCTCTATTATTCTTCAGACGCATACTCTCTCTGTCCTATAAAAAGAGTCATTATATGACTCGTACTGGTCAAACTTTTTTAAGTTTGACTAGTTTTGTAAAAAATATTAACAACATTTTTATCTCCAAATAAAGTTATTATAAAAATATATATTCAACAATCTATCTAATGATACTAATTGTGTACCATAATGATTAATATTTTTCTTATATATGTTTATTAAAGTTAAAGATGTTTGATTTTTCAGAAAACGAGAATGACATTTTTTATAGGACGAAGGGAGTATTACCTATACACGAAAATCAGAGAAAAAGGTTAAAGTATGCAGGTCTGCAACTGCCCTTGCATTGTTGTTCATCGTTGACTACTGTGGCTGTAGCCTGTAGGACCACGAGCACGCTCCATAGTCACTGCTCATTTCATTTGGGCATTTGGCATTGAATTCATGTGGCAGTGCAGAGATCAGGATCACGTTAGTTTTTCTTATCTTGCAAGGATAGCGGTTTTGATTTCGGTTGCCTGCCTGCCTGCTGCACGACCACGAGCATGAAGCTCTGTATGCATGCACGTGGATATGTGGTTGAAGCTTCGTCCACCTAGTAGTAGTATTAAGGATGGGGAGGGTCATTTTTGGCTCCGCTCTAGTAGCAGTATTACTTAAAAGTAGCTACTTAAAAAAACAGTTTCTGATTTCTATCCTTTGATTGGATTTTGGCTTTTTAAAAGTAAAGAAACAGCTCTCACAAACCCAACCAAAAACACCCTAAGACTCCGTTGGAGAGGACACTTTCTAGCTGTGGCTTGGTGCCACCGTAACCAAAGGAACTGGAGCCGAATGACACCAGTGAATATAGATGGTCATAAGGCCCAAGGCACATAGGCATGGTCCATGGCCTGACGTTTTGGTCCGGCCCAGCCCGATGTGTGGGTCGTGCTTGGAGCGCTTGCTCGGCACGCCGTGCTAGCCCGCTTGGCACACCGTGACGGTCCATCCTGCACGATTACCAAGCCCATCTTAGGCATCTCTCCCTCTTATATATAACGGCATCAAAACCCTAACTTCCCAGTCAATGACAAAGCCACGCGCTCGGTCGACTCCCACTTTCTTCTTCACTCTCCCCTCTCGACTCTGCTTTCTTCTCCGTACTCCTGTCCCATCTAGCTCTCCTCGCTGCTCGATGCGCAGCATCGTGCCTCGGCCACCTTGGTCCCCGCTTTCTTCTCCGCGCACCCTTCGTCTCATAAAAAGAGTGTGTGTGTTTTTTTAAAAACAATAGATCGCCTAAAGGAAACGCTAGCCTCAAAACTTGAAGAGTGTTACTTTAAAAAAACCCTGAAAAGTGTTTCCACCAAATTTTTTACTTCCTTGCCGCGCATGGCAACCATGCAATGTCACCGCTGCTACGGGATATCCAGATGGGCCATGCTAGCGCCTGGACGTCCGGACACACGTGTGCGTCTAGATGCCTGCGCACCCGCGTGCTGCTGTGCCTCCCTGCCATGCTTCGAGCCCCACGCCTACTGCTTCTGCTTGGTCCACACATGCTGCTGTTGCGCCTGCTCGCGTGCTTCGCGCCCCACACCTGCTGCTGCTGAGTCGTTTGGTGCTGCCCGCTCTGGCGCTCTGTATGCGCGCATGCACTTTGACCAGTGAAAGGTCCTTGTTTGGTTTTGATAATTGAATGACAACCTAAGTGGACTAATGTGTTTAAATGTGAGATACACAGGTGATTAGTCCATAGGTACACTTGTGTAAGCAACTCATGCCATGACGGTGAAGATGACTTGGATTTGTTGCAAGGCTCACACATGTAATGAAGGAGCTCATTGCATATGAGATATGACATGGAGTCATGTGACTAAGGTGGAGAAGATCAAGACAAGACTTGGCTTGATGGACCGGGTGCAAGCGTGAAGGGCAAGTTGGAGGCTTTGGAGCGATGGACTGCGTGGCGGTGAAGCTTTAGCAAGACTTGACGCCAATGGATGAAGGTAATAGTGAAAAGCAAGTAAGGTAAAGATCGATGAACCAACAAGGTCACGTGATGATATGAAGTGGATCATATCATTTGTGATGTGGTTGGTGCATGTGTTGCATCAACATCCGAGGAGATGGAATGGAATGCGCAAGGCAAAGGTATATTTGTAGGGCATTTCATTTCATCGGTTATAGGTGTGTAGAGAAGTTTATGACTGGGTTTAGGATAGATGGCCGTACTATCAAGAGGGGCAAACTTGTTTGCATATCGGTCATCTAGTGCCACTCGAGTGATCTAACTCTACATCGTTGCTAGGATCAAGTGGCGTGGTGATTTGAGTGACTAATCCTTTGAAAAATGTTTGTGAAAATGCTAACACACATTCACATGTGAAAGACCTAGTTTGGTTTTGGATAATTGATGAAACCTATGCACTAACCTTTGTCATCAGTTATGATATGAGCTAGGTTGGTGCAATCCAAGTGTGGAGCAAGGTGGCACTCAAGAGATGATGTTGATCACATGAAATGAAGAGATGGCCACATGAGATGATGATCAAGTGCTCAACTTGGAAAAGAAGAAAGAGAAACAAAACCCTATGGAGATTAAGGCAAAAGTATAAATAGATATTTTGTTTCAGTGATCAAGACACTATAGAGAGTGTGATCATGTTTAGGATAGATGGCCGTACTATTAAGAGGGGTTCTCAATTATACAATTTGGTCATCTAGTGCCA